CAAGCTCCAAAAGCTCTTGGTGGAATTTGTACCTCCTAAACTAATACTCCAGGTAAATTATGCAAACTAGATATTATTATTGTTATTGTTGTTACTCCTGGTAAATTATTGTTATTCTTTCTTTATTTATTTTGTGCTTCAGGGATACTACTATCTCAACAGAGATAACTATGCATATGAACTTCATTCTCTAATCTCTTGCAGAAGCTAGTAGAACTCTTCCTGAAGGGAATTCAGACTGGCGTGAAGAGGGAAGTCTATTATTGGCATGCCTACTATGTGAGTTTGGTTTTCGTACCATCCAGTTTAGCATGCAATTCCCTGGTGAACTATTTTAACAATACAAGAGAATAATGAATTTCAGGATAAGAGGTTGCCTGTTGGTGCAAGTGCTCTGCTTAAATTGGAAGGTAATTTCTTTTCCTGCATTCCAATAACTAGTGCTTGTAGTACTAGAAAGTTGCTTTTATATTTCGGCCACCTGTCACGCAGTATTGGATGGTGGCAAGTGATTAGACTCGCTTTTGGACAAGGCATATTGTCAGTGCATTTATGTGTCGTCTTCCATTGGCTTTGTGAATCACCGGAATTCCCTGAAGTATCTTTTTCCCTTCTCCAGAATTTGTTGCCAAGTTCATGAGCATCCACCGGAAAAGCCTGTCACATGAGCCCAAAGATTCCTGAGGTGGCGCCGTGAGAATTGGTAGAGCATGTCCTCGTGCGTTTCGGCCGTGTCGAAATCCCTGTGGTGGTGGTTACTCTTTTTTATATATTCACCTTATGTGTCAACTGTTATGGTTCATCTTTTTCTCGTTCTATGATACATACGCTGCTACTGAGTGTCCAGCCGAATAAAGGTCTATACGGCTATACCTTCTGTGTAGGCAATCCCTTGTTGCAAAAGTATGGAAACGGACGTATAATAATAACCTTTTGATTGGAGGTAGTACTCCCTCCGTTCAAAAAAAACACAACTATGACATTCGTGCCGGTCTAAGTTTGTTAAAGTTTGACCAAGTTTATAGCGATCAGTATTAATAGTTATGTCTCAAATAAAGATTTATTATGAAAATATATTTCATCATTAGTCTATTGATACTTATTTTGTATTATAAATGTTAGTAGTTTTTTTTTTACAATTTCAGTCAAAGTTGAAATCAATTAACTTATCGGGAAGTGAGAATTATAATTTTTTTTTTTTTGCGGAGAGAGTACGTGAATTCTGGGTATCAGCTAGTAGCAGAAGTATATCGATGGGCCGCTCGACAAATCCGGCACGCGGCACGCCACGCTTTTTGCTGGCCTGCTACGGGCCCGACGGCCTTATGGGCTTATCCGAGTGGTGAGGCGGCCACTAGCCGACATGGCCTGTGCCAGTTCTGTGTGGGGTGGGACCAGTTATAGAGGCAAGCTCGCCCGGGCCCCGCCTAGAAGGCTCCAAGCCCCGGAATGGAACCCGCGACCGGACGTCGGCGTCTCGAGGTCTACCCAGTACCCACGGCGGGCGCCCGATTCCCATCCCAAGTATATTCCCTCCCCGGCGTGGCGTGGGACGGGAATCAGATGCGGTGCCGGTGCGCGCGCTTCGGCTCCCCACTTCAGCTTCCACCCCACCCTGCTTCCACTGAAGCGTTATCCCTCGCGTGGCGCAATCTGCACCGCCCACGTACCCGTCGCGCGGCCATCGGACGGCCTGGGAACAGGGAGTCGAGGGGACGCCAGGGCCCACCCGTCACCAAAAAGCGAAGGCCTATGCTGCGGCCGGAAGCCCGGAAATATCACATTGATTCGAGCCAGCCAGCCAGCCCGGAGCGCTGGACAGCAGCAGCGAACTCGAGGCCGTTGCTCCGCCACCTCGCACTCGCCTGTCGCCTCTTCTCGCTTTCGCCATCGGGGCAGGGAAGGGAGGGACGGGACCTTCCGATCGCCTCCGGTCCGGTGAGTGGCGAGGGGCTCCTCCTGTTTCCCTCCGATCCGTCGCTTGCTCGTGCTTCTCACCTTCTGATGGCGTTGGTTTCTCGGGGGCGTCGTGCTGTACGATAGCATTTTCTTCGTCTCTTGCCTGTCCTAAGCGCCCTCGTGTGTTCTTTTTTTCCTTTCCTGCCGATGCGCATGCGCCCGTTGGGTCGTTTACTTGGCTTTGGCGCTTCTTTGTTTCGCTTTCCTGTGATGTATGTAGTGATCAGATGCTGGTAGTTTAGTTTGCGACCGTCTCTTTGTTTTTTCCTACGTTTTGGGGTAGGTTTCGTGTGTTTTTTCTGGTGTAGGGAATTGAATCCCTACACCAGAAAAATAATTTGACATTTTCTGGTGCATTTTTTTTTCTAATTCTTTTGCCTAAACTTTGGTGTTCTTCAGTGCTAATCCTTACTACTACTAGTACTATTACAAGGACGGCATCAACATTTTCGTTCCCCACTTTATCCGTAGTAGTGGAAAAACGTCTGCCGATCGAGTTATGTTTTTCTTTATCTGCTTCGATTTCATCTGGATAGGATCATTGTTTCCTCGTTGTGTGGCTTTCCTTCCCTTCCCTTTTCGAGCGTCCCTTTCTTGTTATGCATGCTGAGTTTGCTATAAACATGTAGCAGCACTGCAACCTCGTTGGCACTCTCTCCATCCTCTGTTTGTGATAACAATTGTTTTGTTTCCCATCGGGTTCTACACTTCTACTCCATGTTTGTAAAAGGTGGTGCTGCGATTATTCAGTACTTGTTGCGAGCATGTGTTTCTTTGTACTAGCACTACAATTGTGTATGGTTTCTATATTTGCAAAATGTGGTGCTGCAATTGTTCAGGACTAGGTTCTTCATCTTGTCTGGTGTGGAGTTGTTTAGGATACTGGTGTCATCTCTTCGTATATGTCTTAACTCTTGACTGAGATCATGCTAGCTTCGATTAATTTATTTCGATCCTTCTGACGGCTGCTGGCAGCTTGCATAGAAAAGCTGTATGTACTTGGCATTCCCATACATACATTAATTTCACTTGGCATTGTTTATTGGCCTCTTTCTTTGTGCTGTTTGCAGTAGCTTAGAAGGCCACTTTCCGTTTGCCTTTTTCCGCTTCTGTGTGGCTTTGAAGTTACTCAGAGGAAAGAACTTTTCTGCGTTCCCAATTTGTTGATTAGAATTTTTTCTCTCCTTCGGCATGACAACAGAGCGAGAAACCAAGAACGTCTTTGTTCAGCTAGTCACTTAGCTCTGAGGTCCTGGATATGGTGCTCGTATTTTTAGTGTAGAATTGTGTAAGTTGGTTGCTAAAGTCTACTTAGGCATTGCATGTTGATCTTCAGCAGGCAATATAGATTGAAGCGATCCTTGTTCTGGAAATTCGGGAATTGTGTCATCTTGGGTACAAGTATGCTGAGATCAGGGACAGTGAGCTATACCAAATAATTGAGATGGGTGAGGTTGCATATACAAAGGATAACGAGGTTACTTCCGGCTGCAGTTGCAGCTTTGCCGCTTCCAGTTTCACTTTGCTATTGCTGCTGGCTAGCTGGTCCTTTGCAGCTGCAGTTGCAGCAGCAATCTGAACCGATCATAGCCATTATTATTAGATTTGATTACCTATTGTTTGAGCACATACTCTACAAAGTGGTGTTCTTCAGTGCTAGTCTTCACTACTAGTAGTACTATTACAAGGACGGCATCAACATTTTCTTTCCCCACTTTATCCGTTGTAGGGGAAAAACGTCTGGCGATCGATTTATGTTTTTCTGGATCTGCTTCGATTTGCTGTGGATAGGATCATCATTTCCTCTTTGTGTGGCTTTCCTTCCCTTCCCTTTTCGAGCGTCCCTTTCTTGTTATGCATGCTGAGTTAGCTATAAACATGTAGCAGCACTGCAACCTAGTTGGCACTCTCTCCATCCTCTGTTTGTGATAACAATTGTTTTGTTTCCCATCGAGCTCTACTCCATGTTTGTAAAAGGTGGTGCTGCGATTATTCAGTACTTGTTGCGAGCATGTGTTTCTTTGTACTAGCACTGCACTTGTGTATTGTTTCTATATTTGTAAAATGTGGTGCTGCAATTGTTCTGGACTAGGGTCTTCATCTTGTCTGGTGCAGGGTTGTTTAGGATACTGATGTCATCTCTTCGTATGTGTCTTAACTCTTGACTAAGATCATGCTAGTTTCGATTAATTTATTTCAATCCTTCTGACGGCTGCTGGTAGCTTGCATAGAAAAGCTGTATGTACTAATCTAACCGCGCCCTTTGGCAATCCCATGCATACATTAATTTCACTTGGCATTGTTTATTGGCCTCTTTCTTTGTGCTGTTTGCAGTAGCTTAGAAGGCCACCTTCCGTTTGCCCTTTTCCGCTTCTGTGTGGCTTTGAAGTTACTCAGAAGAAAGAACTTTTCTGCGTTCCCAATTTGTTGACTGTCCATGGCTGCAAAAGTTATTCAGTTTCTGATTAGATTTTTTTCCTCACTCGACATGACAACGGAGCGAGAAACCAAGAACATCTTTGTTCAGCTAGTCACTTAGCTGTGAGGTCATGGATATGGTGCTAGTATTTTTAGTGTCGAATTGTGTAAGTTGGTTGCTAAAGTCTACTTAGGCATTGCATGTTGATCTTCAGCAGGCAATGCAGATTGAAGCAAACCTTGTTCTGGAAATTCGGGAATTGGGTGTCATCTTGGGTACAAGTATGCTGAGATCAGGGACAGTGAGCTAGACCGAATAGTTGAAATGGGTAAAGTTGCATATACAAAGGATACCGAAGTTCCCGCGTGATCGGAACTGCTACTTCCGGCTGCAGTTGCAGCTTTGCCGCTTCCAGTTCACTTTGCTATTGCTGCTGGCTAGCTGGTCCTTTGCAGCTGCAGCTGCAGCAGCAATCTGAACCGATCAGAGCCGTTATTATTTGATTTAATTACCTATTGTTTGAGCACATACTCTACAAAGTGGTGTAAACTATTTAACTTGCCTCTTATGGTCCTTGAATTATAGAATTGTTGAATTAATGAAATTGTTTTAAATCATAGCCATGGCTGGACCTGGTGTTCTCAATGAGCGTATCCTTTCTTCCATGTCCCAGAAACATGTTGCTGCTCACCCATGGCATGATTTGGAGATAGGTACTAAACACTTCTTCCCTCACCAAGGATATACTCCTATCATTTTGCTATGCTTGTTTCATAAACTATGATATTGTCACCTTTCCATTCCCTGATTCCTTCATGGTGTAAGAACACTAGTGCTCTGCTCTTTAAGTGATTTGCTGTTTTGTATTTGCCTTACCATGTACACTTTCAAATGCAGGACCAGGGGCTCCTGAAGTGTTCAATTGTGTAAGTTTACCGTTTACTAGTAAATTTACAAATATGGTTGGTGTTCTGAATTCTGATCTTACTGATGGATAGCAATTTAAAGCTTTTATCTTCATACTTACATTAAACTTGGCTTGGTTAGTAGTTGTGGGCTCCACATTTTATAACCTCCCTACATATATTAGGTCTATTGAAACTTGTGGGACAACATTCTCATGATTTTTGAATTTGCACATCATTTTGGCTGTGATATGAATATATGATCTAGTGGATATATATGTGTATAAACCAGCTATACACATACTAGTCGTCTAGTAGATACTAGATATTATTTCTTGCAGCCTGGACTCTTTATTTACCTGTCTTTAGCTGTGATGCTGAAATAAAGCATATCTCAAACCTATCTTATCATGTACTTGCTTGATTCCTATAAAGTAAGTTTACATGCGCATTTTTTTCAATTGTCAGGTGGTTGAGATTCCTAGAGGCAGCAAGGTTAAGTATGAGTTGGACAAGGCATCTGGTCTGATCAAGGTGAGGTCCTATTTATGTTCAGCACATTGATTTTGTTTCGGTATTTCTTAATTTCAAATCACTTAGTAATTATATGCACCATATACTCCCTATTGGATAGAGAACAGCATTGCTGAAATCTAGCTGATGTGTGTGCCTAAGCCAAGAGGCAATTTGCACTGCTCCATACAAAATGCAATCTTTATTTCAAATCAAAGGAATAAAAAGGGCATGTCTTAATAATGTGTTATTAACAATATATTTCTGTGACCGTTAGTAACACCTAGGATTAAGGTGGGCTTGCTTGCTACATCTTGTTTTTTTACATTGACAGTAGGTAATCAGAGATTACTTGTTACAGGTGGACCGTGTCCTTTATTCCTCTGTTGTTTACCCACATAACTATGGTTTCATTCCACGCACACTCTGTGAGGATAGCGACCCCATGGACGTCCTCATACTGATGCAGGTATTTAATGTATGTATCATTTCGATAGTCTTCCATTATCAGCTTTACTCTAACATTGTGTGCTCTTTTTCTGGAAGGAACAAGTTGTCCCTGGGTGTTTCCTGCGAGCTCGTGCTATTGGGCTCATGCCTATGATCGATCAGGTCTAGTCTCTCCATCACCTGATCGCATAGTGTTTGCTCTGTTTTACCTTTGGCTATGGGCTATTGCGCTGTGTTCTTCCATGTAATTTTGATATCACTTGATGTGTCAGTTTTGACCAAGCCACCATAAGACCTTTCTAGAATATAAAAGTTCTTGTAAATTTTGTTCTATCCCAAGGCTGAATTCTATCATCTTATTTAATCGTTGTTCAACATCACTAGGGCGAGAAAGATGATAAGATTATAGCAGTCTGTGCTGATGACCCTGAATTCCGTCACTACACGGACATCACGGACCTTCCCCCGCATCGCCTTCAAGAGATCCGCCGCTTTTTTGAAGATTGTATGTTCTTAAACTGTATCCACAGCTTGTCCCTAGTGTTACACTACAGATCATCAAATGCAGTAACTAGAGTCCAATACTTATATTTCTGCCGTGTTGACAGATAAAAAGAATGAAAACAAAGAGGTTGCAGTGAATGAGTTCCTCCCAGCGAAAGATGCCATCAACGCAATCAAGTACTCGATGTGAGTTTTCTTCCACATACTCTGGCATATATGTTACTACTCTATACTAGCTTGCTTTGATACTATTCTATACAGGACAATAATTTGTGTGTTATCAAAACAGAGCTCATTAAACCAGTTTGGATGTTATACTGCAGGGACCTGTATGGCTCATACATCATTGAAAGCCTGAGGAAGTGATCTCCAGCTGCTCGATTGTGGATGCTACATCATTTTCTCAACAGCTCATCGAGAGTACCGTAGTACGACATATATTAACACGCACGAACTGGAATCATGACCAAGGGATATTACCTTCTGTTCATGTTGAAACAATCAGCAGTGCCTTTCTTTCCATTATATGCCATGTCAAATCAAGGCACTTGGCCCTGAAATCTTTGTGGTCAAGTCAAACCAGCACTTTGACAGAACGATTGCTGGATGCCTGGATTACTGTTACATAAATTCCCATTTGCTGTACTTCATTTCTTCTTCTGAGATGCACCCTATTTACCGTGAACTTAGTATATCTTATCTTCTGGTGTGTGTTCAAGAGATGCCTAGGACTCATCTGAAGCATTACTGTTATGACTTATGAGGCACTCTTTGGCATAACTTGTGCTTGTGCCGAATATAGCTATTAGGGCGAGAAACTGTTTCAGTTAAGTCATGGCTTCTGCCTACTAGACAGAGCCATCGCAGAAAAACGCCGTTTGGTTGAGTTCTCCGTGTTTCTGTTGAAGTAGCAGCTGCCCAGCATGGGAGGACGCAGGATGCCCGCCTTTTTCCAAGAAACTTTACAGGACTCCAACCGGATGCAGCAAAAGCAAGCAAAGGCAGGGTGCAGTGGTGACCGATGGAGCCAGGCAAAACTGATCCAGGGTCTCAGCCAAACGTGCCCTTAAAACTGATATGATTTGCAATCGAAACGTGCCCTTAAAACTGGCATGATTTGCAAACGAAACTATCACAGAAGTTTATTTTTTATTACCAGACTTTTACAGTACAACAAACTCCCACCCTGAAGAACAATTATCACGTTACTAAACAGTTCGTCTGAATTAAGCTCTCATATATGCCCTAAAGCCAAAACAGCCTCAATCCCTCAGCAATGCCTAAGAATTTAAGAAAAGTGACACTGGTGTAGTGGTGTGCAATAGGAGAGTTAAGCACCGAGCACATGAAGCATGATGGCATTCTGAGCGTGCATTCTGTTCTCAGCCTGGGGGAACACGATTGAGTTGGGAGCCTCGATGGCACCGTCTGTCACCTCCACTCCTCTCTCTGCGGGCAAACAGTGCATAAGGTAGGCTTGGGGGCCAGCAATCTCCATCAGGGCTTCATCGACCTGCAATATAGGGTAAAAAACAAAAGTGTTAGCTGAGGACCAAGCTATCATTACTGAGCAAAAACACTGAAATAAGACATTGCGCAACAGTTGCCTGTACAGTTTCACTGTCACTTGAACACCACAATTATGATTGAGATAAAAACCTAGTATCTTGAATCATATGAAGGTCGGAACATAAATGATTGTTTCTCTAGTTTTAACTCAATCGCCTCATGGGCTTATGCCAAGTATATGTGGTTGGAGTCCAGTAAGACACATAGAAATTCTAGAAAAGTAGAAAGTGTGAAAAACAGACAAACCGTGAATCCCTGAAACTTCTGTTTTCTATAATCAGCTTCTTCCTTTTGGCCCATGCTAGCCCAAACATCTGTATACACAACATCTGCTCCCTTAACTGCTTCCCTGGGATCGTTTGTTATTTCAATCTTACTGATTCCAGAACTCCTAGCGATCTCCACTGTCTTCGCATCAGGCTCAAATCCCTTGGGACAAGCACATACAAAGTGAAATGGAAGTACAGCAGCCAATAGAAGCCATGAGTGCACAATGTTGTTCCCATCTCCAACATAGACAACCTACACAATTGAAGACAATTGGTCACAACCCAGCTCAAAATTAGACACATAGAGCACACGCAATTACTTCAGTGGTATGATGATCTACCTTAGTGTTTTCAATATGACCAATGTGCTCAAGCATAGTTAGTGCATCAGCCATTATCTGGCATGGATGGTTATAGTCGGTGAGACCATTTATGACAGGTACAGGTGCATAGTTTGCCAAGTCCAGAATATCCTGCCAAAACCATATGAGAAGTTAGGAGATAGTACTTGGATGGAAACAAAAAGGAATCAGCATCGAGTGGAACTACCTAAGATCAATATAAGGAGGACAAAGGACAACGGTAAATTATGCAGATAAAGTATCTGAGTAACAAAGGCAACTAAACAAAGATGATCTCAAAGCAAGAGATCAACCCAAAACATCAATTATTTGTTTACATCAGACGGAATAAGTTTGATATATTATCAAAGGACACAAACAGACAAAGAAACCACAGAAGAAAACTGCCAAAATAATGATATCAATTCAAAACCACCATGCATCCATATACATACCAGGATCCATGTTAGCTCTTATATTATTAGAATTAAACAAACTTACCGTTTTAGTTAAATCTGTACTAAATCGAAGTTGGTATTTCATATTAATTATATACTTCCGACTGGCAAAAATTTACTTTAACTGATGACTATAGTGCTTGTTGTTTCGAGGTAGATATCTAATTGTTGTGCTTAAGCAGCATGGAGAAGACAGATCAAATATGTAAAAAAGAAATGATCCAGATTATGTGTCCTTGTTGGTTATGTTGGTAAATAAAAATACCACAAAAAAGAAATCTTAATCATGCAACTCATGACCATACCTGGTGAGCAAAGACCCTAGCCATAATGATGTCATTATAGCCAGAAAGTACTCGAGCAACATCACGAGTCTCCTCACGCTTGCCCATCTGGATATCATCTGGACCCAAATAAATAGCATGCCCACCAAGTAAGAAAAATCCTGTCTCAAATGAAACACGTGTCCTCATTGATGGCTTGGCAAAAATCATCGCCATTGATTTCCCTTTGAACGGTTGGAAGCTCCTGTCTCCAGACTTTATTGCTGCCTTAACCTCGATCGCTCGATTAAGGATATTCATTATTGTATCCTTGTCAAAATCATTGATATGAAGGAAATCCTTAGGAGCCTGTTTGGCTGCAAGAAATTGCTAGAGTCAGAAAGAAAGTGTGCTAAGCATGAAACGATACTTTCTATAGAATGAAAGCTCACATCGATGCCTAAAACATTTGAGTGCATATATTGGTATGAGAGGCATTTAGGATCACATTCAGAATTAAATAAAAGTCAGAATTGAGTGCATTTGATGTTCTACACATCAAACATCAGGAATAGCTCAATGGTGACGCTAAGAAAATCAAATTACACAATGTGGTATTCATAAAAAAGGGCAGACCCAGTGCCGGAGGCTCCCACATGAGTGGGGTCTGGGGAAGGGAAAAACCGAGGCAAGCCTTCCCCCCACAAAAATCTGCGGAGAGGCTGCTTCGAACCCGCGACCTGGTGACTCAGTGAGACAGCTCTCACCACTGCACCAGGCTTGCCCTTCACAATGTGGTATTCATAAGTGCTGATAAATTTGAAATTCAAGAAAAATGAAAGGTTTAGTAATTCACGTATGGCATATGTATAGCTCACTCAAAATAAGCGTTCCTAATTGGTCTAGTGGCTACACCAGAACAGATTACAGAAACAAGCCTGAAATTTGGCATAGGCAACTTTTCTAGTTCAAAGAGGAAAATACAGTTGACTTTTAACTTTTAAGAGGTACTAGCAACCTACACCCTGATGAGCACCCAGAGTTGGCTACAAACAAAAGGACTTAATCACATTTGACTGTCCCAAATCAACGAAATCAACCAACCATCGCAGCTCAGCTTAGTTTATCGCATCTCACAGCATTGTTACTTCTAAGTCATCATCGAATCCCAAAACCACACCGAGAGCACAGACCAACAGCCATAAGCCCATAACCCTCAGCAGAACCCTCGATACCAGCAAGCCCCAACCCAGCAACGAATCAGAGTGCTTCAATGCGGCGTTACAATAACTAACCATCCTTCCCCGCGGCGGCGGACACAGCGGGGCTGGACACGGCGGCAACCGCGACCCCGCGGCGGGCCACGGGCGAGGCGGCGGCGGCGGCGATTGGGCGAGCGGTGCGCGGAGGGAGCGTGAGCGGCTGCCTGAGGCGGGGGGAGGAGACAACGAGGTGGCCGCTGGAGCCGGAGATCGCCGCCGCCGGCGTCATCGCGGGTGGCGATTGGGGTGCGGTGGCAGTGAGGCGGATGGGTGCGCGAGTGCGAGAGCTCGGGTACTGCCGTCGCCGGATTCGGGATACGGATTTGTTGCTAGGGGGCGGAATCAGGTTAGTCTAGGGTTAGGCGAGGTGTTGACGGGCACAGTGACAGTGCACTAGCCCAACGGACGATCACGATTCTTGCTGATCAGTTGCCTCTTGCGTCACTGTTCCATAAGCGTAATTCAAACCCACGTACTACAACTATATCATCATGCGATTAAACAGTTGATTCTGTACAGAATGGTCGAGGAATCAAACAATTTTAGATAAGATGGTGAATCAAACAGCGCTTCAGATCACAAAGATCCGAACTCTGTAGCCTTAGCACCAGGCCCGGCCCTAAGTTTTTTTTTTACCTAGAACAAAGCTAAATTTTTGAACCTTTTATATGAATATAATAATACTATTGGTACTACCCATTGATAGCATATACACACACATTTACAAAATGTTGCTAGTAAGCAGTTAACTGAACGTAAAAGCAATGTTTATATGAAATCATTTGTATACATATTAAATTATCTCAAAAATTTCTTCTAACATTCATTGATGCGAAGTCATCGATGATGGTTTCAATATCAATCTCATCCAACAATCGCTTCTCAATGTATAATGTTGCCAATCCATTTAACCTCTCTTGCGACATTGTAGATCTCAAATAGTTCTTCAACAATTTTAATTTTGAGAAGGTTCTTTCAGCTGATGCCACAGTCACTGACATAGTAAACAAGATGCGATAAGCAATGGAAGTATTATGATAACAATCACCTTCTGTAACAAACTCAAAAATCTCCATAGCTGTCATGTCTCTTTTTGGCAGAAATTAGATCATCTAATCAATGTCAGATAAGCCATTATGAGAGAAAGCTACTGCCAATGTTGTGCAACACAAATTTAGTTTAGGACCATCCAAGGACTTCAACA